CAACCTTCAAGAGAATTATTTATCTACTTCTATCTCAAGAAGGAATGGATTCCATCTCGTATAATAATATTCCCGGCTACCTACTTCATCATGTCTCCAAAATACAAGGAGATTCAGGATCTCAGAATCCGTACTGAGTAAATCAAAATACACAAATCCATAAATAGGAGTCTCTTAAGAACTCAAGATTAAGATCATTCTATATATGACCATCAATAGACTCAATTAGAATTTCTATACTTAATGGAAATTATTAGAAATTCATATTGTGTCTGTGTCCTTGTTCCACATAATCTCATTATGTGAAATACACTCATTCAATATCTCACCATATTAACAGTGTGGATAACACCGTTCCATTCTAAATGGGAATGACATATATTAATAATATTTTAATTAAAGATTCTGAACTTTAATTAAATTCATTATGAACACCGTTTTTTGATTATTATCCTCTCGCATATAACACTTATATACAACGTTTAAGGTCACATAAATAATCATGGAATTTTCATTTGATATTCATAAAATATTCATAAATATGTGCACATAAAATAATGAATAAACTCTTTTATTAAATAAATAATAAATATCCTATTACATTTCATGCTTCTAGGACACCATTCCCAACATGACCTTATGAGGAATTTATGCACTTTGAAATTTGATTTCGTTTTGTTTTGATTTTGTCTTTTATGAGGATTTTTAGGATTGAATTTGATCTTGAAAAATAATCATGGAATTTTCATTTGATATTCATAAAATATTCATAAATATGTGCACATAAAATAATGAATAAACTCTTTTATTAAATAAATAATAAATATCCTATTACATTTCATGCTTCTAGGACACCATTCCCAACATGACCTTATGAGGAATTTATGCACTTTGAAATTTGATTTCGTTTTGTTTTGATTTTGTCTTTTATGAGGATTTTTAGGATTGAATTTGATCTTGAAACTGCACCTAAATTTTAGGCTGCCTACGTATCTGATTGGGAATCAAGTCAATCGTAGTTCTTGAACTTGAATTTGGATTTTGGAGAATTCTCTGATATATGACCATAGGAGGAATTCAAAGATGTTTTAAAATTCGATTTGGAATTTTACTTTAGAATTTGGATTTGAAAGTTAAATTTGGATAATTCTCCGGTATATGACCTTATGGGGAATTAAAAGGATCCTTTTTGAATTTGGTGTTGGGATTTTTTGATTTGAATTTAGGATTTAAAAATTGTATTTAATCACCATATGATTTTATGAGACAATGGGCTCATCTTTTTGAACTAAGGGACCATAAAGGGGCTCAATTTGTGCACTTTAAATTTTTCGGTATTTAATTTTTTGAATTTCTTTGAAATTTATCCTTTATCCCTTTTCTTTTTTTTTAATTTTAAATTTCATCATATTCAA